AACCTAGCAATGGAAGAAATAGACAAGGTTATCAAGGGATTACCAACAAAAAAATCCCCTGGGTCAGATGGATTCACAGGAGAATTCTACCAAGCATTCAGGGAAGAACAGACACCAATCCTATACAAACTATTCCAGAACATAGAAAAAGACGGAAAACTCCCAGTCTTTCTATGAAGCTAGTATAACTCTTATGCCCAAAGCAGACAAGGATCCCACAAGAATTGAGAACTACAGATCAATATACCTAAAGAACATAAATGCAAAAATCCTTAATGAAATACTAGCCAATTGAATACAAAAGGATATAAAAAAAAATTCACCATGACCAAGTAAGTTTCATACCAAGGATGCACAATTCATACCAGGGATCAACATACGAAAGACCATTAGTATTATTCGTCAGATTGGCAGGAAAATTTACAAGAACCACATGATAATATCAATAGATGCCGAAAAAGCTTTTTACAATGCCCAAAACCCATTCCTGTTTAAGACACTAAAAAATATATGACTGGAAGGAAATTTCCTCAATATTATACCAGCTATATATGAAAAACTAACAGCCAATGTGGTAATCAAGGGAGAAAAATGAAATGAATTCCACTGAAAAAGGGGACCAGACAAGGATGCCCCTTGTCCCCACTCTGCTTTAACATTGTACTGGAGGGCCTAGCGAACAACATAAGACAAAGAAGAGACTTCAAAGGTATTTGTTTGGGGAAGGAAGGAGCGAAACTATCATTATTCACAGATGATATGATTTTATACATAGAAAATCCCTGAAACTCCACAAGTGGAGTGTTGGAAATGATAGAGGAAAATGGGTAGTACAGGATAGAAGGTCAACAAACAGAAATTTATCACACTACTGTACACATCAGACAAGATCACAGTAGAGACAATTAAAAGGTGGTACCTTTTACAATAGCCAAACACAAATTGAAATATCTAGGGATATACCGGACTAAAAAGCAAAAGATTTGTAAGAGGAAATTTATGGAATACTATAACAGTAAATCAAGAGTGACCTCAACAAATGGAAGAATATCCCATGCTCATGGATTGGAAGACTCGATATAGTAAAGATGTCAGTTCTGCCCAAGGCAGTATATAAGTTCAATGCTATCCTGACACGAATACTATCTTCTTCAAAGCATTGGAAAAACTGATTACAAACTTCATACAAACAGGGAAGAAGCCCAGAAGTAGCAAAGAACTCCTCAAAAAGAAGGATGAAGTGGGAGGCCTTGCTCTACCTGACTTTAGCACATATTATATGGCCACGGTGGTCAAAACAGTGTGGTACTGGTATAATAACAGATATTCAGACCAATGGAAAAGAGCTGAAGACTTAGAAATAAAACATCAGCATACGGGCAACTGATTTTTGTTGAGCTGCCAAAATATCAAATGGGAAGCAGATGCTCTGTTTAACAAGTGGTACTTGAAAAAATGGAGATCTACCTGCATAAAAATGAAGCGAGACCCTTACATCACTACATGACCAAGAATAAACTCAAGGTGGATTACAGACCTTGAGGTAAACCCCAAACTATTAGGGCTATTAATGAGGGAATTGGCACAAACCTGAGACCCTTGGCACAAAGAATACATAGGCTATCAGAAATAGGGAATGTTACAATACAGAAGAGTCACAAGTTGACAAGTGAGATATACTAAAGATAAATCACCTGAGTACATTGAAAGAATTCACCAAAAGAGTAATAAGAGAGCACATATACTGGGAAATCATCTTTAGCAATGACATATCAGACAAAGACATTATTAAAATCTATACTACTTTGCAAGCTTACAATAAGAAAAAAAACTAACTGTCTACTGAGGAGGTGGGCAAAGGACCTGAACAGAAGTATTACTGGAGCAGAAATCCGAATAGCAAATAAACATATGAGAAAAAGTTCCCAATCATTAGCCATAAGAGAAATGCAAATTAAAATAACTATGTGATACCACCTAATACCGTCAAAGATAGCCCAATTCAAAAAGTCAGAAAGTAACAAGTATTGGAGGGGCTGTGGGGAAATAGGAACTCTCATCTACTGCTGGTGGACCTGTATGTATGTATAGCCACTATGGAAATCGATTTGGCAATATCTAATACAGATGGAGATTGAACTACCATACGACCCATCGATCCCCCTACTAGGCATCTACCCAGAAAAGGCAAGACCAAACCACAGCCAGACATCTGTGCCCCAATATTCATCATGGAACACTTCACAATTACAAGGAGTTGGAAACAACCCAAATTTCCATCAACAGACAAATGGATAAAAAAACTGGGGTACATACATACAATGGACTACTAAGCATCCCTAAAATACAGAGCTGAATGCATGAAGCACATTGTTGCATGGGAAGAACTGGAGGAAATTATGCTAAGCGAAGTAAGTCAAGCACAAAAGGACAAGTACAAGATGAATCCACTGAGGTAAGCTTAAAAAAACAAAACAAAACAAAAATGGGTCAGAGGAGAAAACTATTATACACATACAACCCTGGAGTGAGAGCCAGGTACTATGGCAGGGGCCAAACCCAATCTAGGCATACATATGGCAGGCAACTAAATAAGATGGGGAAAGAAAGAAAAAAAGAAAGAGAGAGAGAGAGAAAGAAAGAAAGAAAGAAAGAAAGAAAGAAAGAAAGAAAGAA